ATGACTTTTTTTTTCCTCTCCTCTAGCTTGAAGCCCCAAGTATTCTGAGATGGCCCAATTCTTTTCCCCCATTTGTAGCCAAAATTAAGATCCCTCTATGGCCTAAGCCTGAAGAGAGATGGACTAAGGAGAATAGGATGTTTTATACATAAGAATAGTAAAGTAAATATTGACTCTCTTATTCTGAAAGCAGAGTCTCTTCCACACTGCCCTATATTGGTGTTTGCCTCTCTGTCCCTTTTTTTAGAGCATGATGCTTTCATAAGTATCTGTTTTACAGGGAACCTCGAGTGGTTGGATAAGAATAAGTCTAGCTTCCTGATCATGTGGCGGAGGCCAGAAGAATGGGGGAAACTCATTTATCAATGGGTGAGGCCACCCTGCTAAGCACTAAGCAATGACCCATGGCAAAGAAGAATTGTTGCCTGTGCCCAGCCGATAGCTGGCGTTTTTTAGATCCAAACTTGGCAGAGTGGGAGTGGGCAAAAATGGAAGCACGGGCCTTTCTGGCAACCATCCTTCAGTGATTCAATGTCTCTCCTGCACAGAATCTCCCTTTCTTTGCCTGCAGGAGGCCAGAGGCTACATGAGGCCATGTTTGGAGAATGTAGTACTGGGAACCATGAGTGCTATTGTTGGCTGGAGCCTCTGGCCACAGGAGATAAATGGGGAAAGGAAGGGAGAGGGGGGGAAAAAAAGACCTGGGTTCCCTCTCCCACTGTGCCTTCACGGTGTCACTCCCATGAATGAGACCTTCTGAACCAGTGTGGGTGTGAGGACAGCATACTCTGTCCCTTGGATTCCACATTACCACCATTCCCAAACACTCCCAAGAGAGAAGGAGGGGAGGAAGCACCAACAACCTAAATATAACAAACACACACCACCCATTCCTGAGCAGAAAACAACCAGAATGAGAGGTCACTTTTGAGACACGTGAACAGCTGTGGTTTAGTGGTTCCAAGTGTGTGTACACACAGACAAATATAGCACCTGTAGAGCTAATGGGTTTAGGGCCCTGCAGAGGTGACAGTCCTGATCTGCGAGTAGGCACCATTCCTGGAGGGAAAAGGTAGAGCTGACATTTACCTTCTCCCAGATTTGCGGGCCTTGCTCAGCCCTCATTGTTTGTGCTCTCAGGTTTCCAAGAGCGGCCAGAACAACTCTGTGTTTACCCTGTATGAACTGACCAGTGGGGAAGACACAGAGGATGAAGGTAATTCCATTTTCATCTTCCAGGTCTCTGATCAGAACCCTCTTCTCTCCAGTATTGATTTAATGCATCTTCAGACTCACCATTTCTCTGTCTCTGAATTCCATAACGCAAAGTTCTGTGGGTTTTGTTGTTGTTTGTTTTTTGAGATTTATTTTTAGCTGGGTAGTGTTGGCGCATGCCTTTAATCCCAGCCCTCAGGAGGCAGAGGCAGGTGGATCTTTGATTTTGAGTCCAGTCAGATCTACAGAGCAAGTTCCAGGACCCCCAGGGCTCCACAGAGAAACCCTGTCTCAAAAAAAAAACAAAACAAAAAAACAAAAAGAAAGAAAGAAAGAAAAATAGAAAGAAAAAAGTTTATTTTTATGTTATGCACGTGAGCGTTTGCCTAAACATATGTATATGCACCACATACATGCCTGGTGCCCATGGGGGCCAGAAGAGGTCATTGGATGGATCCCCTAAAACTGTTGTGAGCAGTCACATAGGTGCTAGGAACCAAATCCATTACCTCCACAAGAGCAGCAAGTATTCTTAACCACTGAGCCATTTCTCCAGCGCAGTTCAAAACTTCTTAACTCTCATCTAAACATTCCATACCACTTCAGTTTGCAAACAAACAAACTTTTATTGCTGTGGATGTTTGTGTATTTTTAGAAGATTTCTCAGGGCTGTGTTAAGAATTGTTGCTGAAAAAGCCAGCGAGGAACCAGCGTGGGGGATTAAACTTGGGATTTCATTTCTTGCTGACTCAAGCTCTCTTTCACCCTTCCTTCTCATAGAAGGCTCAAGATTTGTGGGTGTCAGCTGAAGGGATCGGGCCAACACCCCCAGCCCCACCCCCTGCCCATTTAAAATTGAGTTTGTGCCAGTTAAGGATTTGTATGGCCTTTGATTTTTACATAGGGAAAAGACCTTCGTAGCTTTTTTTTTTCCTGTGACTCTTTATTCTGATCCTCAGGATCACCAAAAGTTTGAGTCTTTGCCAGGGTAGGGGGTAGGTGTTCTGCCAGGTTGTGAGTGTTCCAGCAGACTTTACACTGCTTGGCTGTCTCCCCTCCCTGCAGGCCTCTGCGTGCTGTTCCCACCTTCACCCCCGTCACCCCGTGAGTTCAGCACTGCAGCCTGCCCAGCCCACCACTCAGCCTGTACAAAGCTAGAAGCTTCCACAGAATGCTCACTCCTTGACTGGAGCTGGGCTCCCTGGGGTGGGGGATGAGGTGAGCAAGCCTGTCAGGGCTTGTCTGCTGCCTCTCACATCTTGACAGTACTTCCCATAGCTCTGGATACTCCTCTGGCCCTTGACTCCCTTTCATCTAGGAAAGGACAGATTTTGGCTGTGATCTTTAGCAGTCTCCTAGCTAGGGGTGCCAGCTATACTTCCATGTGTTAAGGCAGATCTCCTGGTTTGTATAGATGTTTGGATGGGGGTCACTGTCCAGTGCATGGGCCCTGACCTAGTTCAGATTATCAGGGTTACTTGTATCCTAAAGGCAAAATGTGTCCATGGTACGCTAGATATTTGATAACAGCAAAGGGAAAGAGGGCTCTGGAGGTAGAACTAAGAAGGGTGAACTAAGCCTGCTTCATTTCATGCTGTCCAGGCTGCTTTCCACTCTTCACTCCCAGTGAATGCCCAGGAAGTGAGTGACAGCTGCAGTGGTACAGATAGCACACGAATAGAATACCCTGGCTTTGGAGTTTTCAGCTTCTAGCTCAGCCATCGAAAGAACTGAGTGTCCTGACTGACCATCTCTTCCTCTCTAGAGTTCCATGGGCTGGATGAGGCGACCCTCCTTCGCGCTCTGCAGGCCCTACAGCAGGAGCACAAGGCTGAGATTATCACTGTCAGTGATGGCCGAGGAGTCAAGTTCTTCTAGCAGAGACCTGTCTCCCTCCACTTCTTACCTCCCACCTTTCCAGGGCTTTCAAAAGGAGACAGACCAAGTGTCCCACAGACTGGATCACTCACTCCACCAGACTCAAAGGGCTCAAGTCCTGAAAGCTCGGACTTAGGGATATTTCCCACATAATCCATTCTACCTACCCCTGGGACAGGGTGAGCCCACGGTGCCAGGGAGAAAGGATGTTTCTTGCCCTACCTCCTTTCCCATCCTAGACTGTCTCTGGGCCAGGGTCTATAAACCTGACACTTTACATGTGTTCTCACACATAAGTACACACCTATATGCGCCTGCACACGCTTCTTTCTCCTCCCTCCTCCCACTCCTTTAGCTGCTATTGCCTCCTTTCTCAGGCTGGTGCTGGATCCTTCTTAGGGGATGGGGGAAGCCCTGGCTGCAGGCAGCCTTCCAGGCAATACAAGATAGGAAGCCCCAGAAGGGGCCTGGCAGTGAAAGGCGGGCCCACTCTGATTTAAGATATTAAAATCTCTACTCCCACTGCCTGCCTGTTACTACTGCTGGAATAGGACTGCAGAAGGCGGAGCTGGTTCCACCTGATTGAGTCCCAGCCAAGGAGAGAGAAGAATCCCTTGGCCTTTGTACAAGAGGAGGGCCTCTGGGTTTGGGGTCTCCAGTGAGTCCCTGGTTTTCCATGTGCTGGGTGGGTTGTGTGGAGGAGTGCTGTTGGAACATAGCTTGGGGACAGACTGCTCTCTAAATTGGAGTCACTTAATTGCTCTCCCATGGAAGTCCTGAACTATTCTGAAGCCCCTCCCTCCATCCATCTGGTCTGGGTGGGGTAGTTGTGGCCAAGGGGAGTTGTGGGGGGGGGTAAACCGGATGTGAACTTTGGTTTATTGAAGACTTTGGCAAACAGAAGGGGAGGAAGGAGAGCCCACAGCAAAAACAGCCTTTCTGGCCAGGGCCAGACTCAGGCCAAAGTAGGGTGGAGCTGATGGGTGTCCAGCTCTTGGTTGGGGGTGGTGGCACTTGTCCTGGAGTACACACACCCATCTGTGGGGACAGGGGGGGTCCAGCTGAGTCAGAAAAACCTTACCTTTCCAACACCGATGTTAGGCCTGGGGCTACTCCTGATTAGGGCTGGGTAGTGCTTGCAGCCTTATCAGGGGCAAGCAGGCTAGTGGTGCCCCTCCCCAGCTACCCTCCTCCCCACGGAGGCATTGGAGCCACCGTCACTTTTCATCTCCTGTTCCAGTGTCCTCCAACTCCCCCACCCCAAACATGTTTGCGCTCTCCTTGTGCGGGAGCACACCCACCGCTTCCTCCCACTCATTCAGCTCTTTGCTGGAGAGAAGGGTTGAAGGCGGGGACTCTGGAGCGCTAGGCGGGCGGCCGGGGGGCTAAGCGGCGGGCGGCAGAGGTGAGGGAAGCACCCCAGCTCCACGCGGTGCAACGCGCCAGGCTCACAAGGGGGTGGCCCTAGGGGTGAGGACCGGTCTCGGCTGGGGCGGGTCGT